TAAGCCTAATTTATGTGCAGTTGTCACTGATGGACATCCTGACTCCTGATTTTACAGCAGCACTGGCCATACATCAAGACCTGGCTGCTTTCTGCCAGAGTAATCCAGGGAAATTGACCTTCCCACGCACCACAGCTCCACGTCCTCACCGTGTTTCTTGGCGTGTCAGTGAGTGCAACGGCGGCTGTATGTTAACACATCCTACGTCCTCTGGGACCAGTTGGCTCCCTCTCAATCTCACAGCCGTAGCTTCTCAGGGGTCCAGTTGAAACTGTACATCGCAATCATCAATCTTCACAAAGTGATGCACTAAACTAATGTTGCAAGTTTTTGACTAAAGGCTGGTTTCAGTGTTTAACGTAACCAGTGTTTGGTTCAGGGTTAGGGCTAACTGCAATGCTAACTTACATAATTCATTCATACCCAGAATCAAATCTGGGGATATTCGCTGTAATCAGATATGAAAAAAATCAGATTAGAGTGGTTATATAAGACACCCAGCTTTAGTGGGCAGCACTCTGAACTGACAGTTTAGGATTACATTTGGGCAACAATATCTGTCACCGCTAAAGAATGCAGCAGTTCAGAAGAAAATCAGTTGCATTTTGGTTGTTCTGTGGACGTGACATGAGAGATAAACTGTCTTTAAGTCTGAACATTACTGTCTTAGAAAACAAGGTTTTTATTTGCCCAGGTGAGAAACAGGAGACATGCAAAAGAAGGGCACTGCGTTAAGAAATGCGTTGAATGACAGTAACGTGGCGTGAATTCAAATTAAAAATGTACTTCCTCAGTCGTCTTCTCATCTTTTCTGAACTCGATGAACCTGCTCTACCTGCCTCACTCTCAGCGACGAAACCGCATCGGCGTTCATCTTCTCGACAGCGCTGCCTGATCTGCTCTTCGGATGTCTTTTGTTAGTCGACACAAGTCGCACAATGCAACAAACAACGCTGTCAACATGAAGAGCAGGCTTTGTCTTTTACAGTTTTTGCAAACACGAACCACACAATAACAAAGAGTCTGACAGCAGCCACTGCCGGAAACTCGAGACTTATTTTCATGCATAAAAGGACATTTTACACATAATGCGATGAGTTGGCGTTGAAATGACGGTGGGATGGGCTTTGCTTGAAAATGCTGCACCAAGTCGGTGCAAGAAAAGAAAAAACTGTTTCCAATGAAAAGAACTGCAGAAGCTTTGAGCATTTTCCCAGGTGCACTGCAGAAAGAGCGTCTTTGTGTTCGGCACGCTGTCTGGTAAAAATAAAGGTTCAAAGAAATGGCGAGTACCCTCATCAGAAAAGAGCTGAGGGCTTTGTGTTTCACTGGCCCGCAGTGATAGGGAGGGCTGACTTTACACATGATTAGCCAAAGTGACGATTGCAGATGTTAACTGATGTTAGTGTCTTCTAATAAAACAAGAATACTAAAAGAGTAACAGATGATTCTTTGTATTGCTTATCCTGTATCTAAGGCTCGTGCTAACTTTATATTCTCTAATTCTGTTGTATTGACTTGTACAATTGAGGTTTAGTACAAAACAACACCAGCATGTTTTGATGGCTTAATTGTCTGTTTGGTCAGACTTGAGAGCAAATAATTATGGAAAGCAGCTAAAACATTTCATCCTACTGATGCTGTTTTTTTTGCTAAGGCTCACTTCTCTGAATTTCTACTACTGAGGTGACATTAGCGATGAAGTCAGCTGATTGAAATAAACACTAACGCAGATCCAGCATTACAGTGGATTTATACTTCTGTGTTAAATCCACGCTGTAGGTACGCGTAACTCCAAATCCTTCTGAAACCCTACGCTGTAATCTGACATGCACCTCCCCATAAATGTAACATGAACAAGTTGCCGTCAACACAAGCAGCACAGTTATAAATGCTGACATCAGCCACTTGTGTAGGCTCCAATGACGACTCCACATGGAGTCACCACAGAAACATAATTCAGGTATTAGTGCT